ACCCCAGGTATGTGTAGAGCTCTACATGAAGCCCAGGGACAGAGTCCAGTTTCTTGGACAGCTGTGCCTTAGCATTTGTGCCAACTTATATAGCTTAATAAAAACCTGGTCGCACCATTTAAAGTCTTCACTGGGAAGACACATAGTTTTCCTGGTGCCTGCAATTTTAAAGAAGCACACATTTTAGTTTTATTTTCTTTGTCATTTCCCATTGACCAGGTATGTGTAGAGCTCTACATGAAGCCCAGGGACAGAGTCCAGTTTCTTGGACAGCTGTGCCTTAGCATTTGTGCCAACTTATATAGCTTAATAAAAACCTGGTCGCACCATTTAAAGTCTTCACTGGTGGAAGACACAGTCATGTTAACTCACACACTGCACCATCACGGGGGTTTCCTCTCTTCTGGTCTCTGGGGAACCACCCAGGGATTGTAAGGTGTCTGTGTTGTAGGAAGTATTCCTGGGAGCACTGTGAAGGGTATTTCACAGGAGGCTGCTGTCATGGGCAAGGGGGAGAAAGAAGCAGCATGAGAAGGGATCCAGGCAGGCAGAACCCAGAGGCCTCATCACCGTGGACCACAGATCCCTGATGATGCTCCAGACTCTCACTCAGTCCCAGGTTCACCTCACCAGCTCAGCTCAGCTCTCACACTGACACTTGCACAAATCTACGGCAAAGACAAACCAGTCCAGATGCCATGGAAAGTGAAAGGAGAGACTTTAATCACTAATATACTATTGCATTAGTGAGGTGGATGGATGAAGCACGAACCTCATTTCACAGAGGGGCCTGGGCATTTTAAAGTCAGAATGAGGGAAGTAGAAGGAGCCCAGGAGGAGGGCAGAGTCAGGAACAGGATAAGTGTGGGATCCTGCCACTTAGGATCCCATCCTCCCAGAGACTGAACAGAGGTCCTTCCTCCCTGATGATCCCATTCCCAAGGAATGACTTTCAGGGCCTGGAGAAAACACGCTCCTGGGCTGAGAGAGACTCATACTTTACATATGGGTCAGAGGGAATCCTCCCAGAGACTGAACAGAGGTCCTTCCTCCCTGATGATCCCATTCCCAAGGAATGACTTTCAATGCCTGGAGAAACATGCTCCTGGGCTGAGAGAGACTCATACTTTACATATGGGTCAGAGGGACAGAGAAGGACTTATCACGCTCAGCTCCTTTGAGTAAACATCCTCCAAAAGGGCAGTCGGGGCATATGATTATCCTAGCTCCTAGCCTGAAACCAACAGTAAATTCCTCTGGAAGCCTTGAGTTTCTCAGGGAGCAGGTTTCAGAGAGTTAAGGTCTTTGTAGAGACACGGCCCGCAGATCTTGTACACTGTGTTTCAGTCTTTTATTATTTTAGTCTTTCAGTGCAGAGGGGCAGGGCAGGTGGGATCACTTGGGCGAGAGTGCACAGGTTTTCTAGGCCAGGGTTGAGACCCGGGGAGGAAGAGGCTCACAGGGGCCTGGATACAGCTGGTTCAGGACAGGATCTTCGTGGCCTGTTGCTTCTCAATTCCCAGTCAGTCCTCGGCATAGATTTTCCAATTCCTTGGGGTCCAGACTTCCAGGCGTGGGGACCCTCAGGCTGGGTTCGTTCAGGTTTCCCCTCATCCAGGGAAGACAGGAGCCAGGCTCCTGGGGCCCTTTGGGGTTGAGATGCCTGCTCCTTGCTGTGAGGAGAGGATGCTTTTCACTCTGCTGAGGGCTCTACTTCAGGGATAACCGGTCCCCTCCTTGCCTTCCCCAGGCCTCACCTCCCCAGGTCCCATCACCTCCCCATAGAGCTGCAGCTGGAACACGGGTCCTTTGGGGCCACCTCTGACCCACACTCTAGCATCAGCTCCTAACCTCTGCTGGAAGCCTCGTGGTGAAGACAGAGCCCTGCTCACATCCTGCACTTGCTGAGCTGGCCGTGCCCTCTGCTGGAGGGAGGGACAGGGGGAAGGACAGGTGGAAACCAAACTCTGCACCTCGGTCCGAGTGACAGGGAGAAGTTGGTGACCCTGGAGGGGGGAGGCTGGTGAATCTGGCAGGTGAGCAGCTGAGCCCTGGCACAGTGATTCCCAGGCCACTGCAGGACAGGTTCCCAAAATGGAGACACAGGAGTGACTCCCACACTAGGCCTAACAAGAATGACCTCTGGTGCGAGGGACACTTTTGGCTTCTGCTTATTAAGCATGTTAGGATGCTGGGTGTGGTGGTCTAGCTCTCTTGGGGGCTGAGGCAGTAGGGTTGCAAGTTGGATCCCAGGCTGGGCAAGTTAACAGCTTAGAGAAATGGTTTCTTAAGATACATAATCAAAAGGGCTGGAGGTATAGCTCATTGTGAAGGGCACACTCACACACACACACACAGACAGACATGTAAAGAAAACAAGCGAGAAAGACATAAATAAAGAAAATGAAAAAAGGAACATTAGGTGTCACAGGTTCCTTGTCAAAGGTATTTTCTGGGCTCTGAATAGCCCCGCCCAGTCCTGCTGAGCCTAAACTATAAAGATCCCTGCTTCCTGGACTAGCCATAAGCATCTTCCAGCGTTCCTGCGATCTGGGTGTCTTCCAGGCTCCAGTAGGACATTGCCAGGTGGGAAGATGAGGCGAGTGTGGCTGGGCAGGGACAGAGAGGGTTCAGAGCCCTGGGGCTGGGGCGGGGCTGGGAAGGGAGCCCAGCAGGAGCCTTGAGGCTCTGCAGCTAAGCTTGGGGATGGCAGGGGCCGTGTTGGCCCCACGTGGGGCTCACCCAGGGAAACCAACTTCACTCTGCAGCAGACCTGCCTGCCCAACTACTCCTCTCTCTGCTCTCAAATCCCAGTCTCCTGTCCACATCTGTGCACCCCATAGCACCCCCAGACTGCCCTGTCCTTCACCCAGGGGATGGAATCTTCTCTCTGTCTTGAGCCTGTGTGTCCTGTGGGACAGGAACCTTGTCACCACAGCTGGACCTCTAATCAGGGAGATGGGATGGGGCCCAGCTAGGATGAGGTGTGTGGCCAGGAAGGGGTGTCCTGGGCTGCACTGTGATGCTGGGTGAGTTGGGAACCGGCCACAGCCAGGGCAGGTAGCCTCCTAGGGGAGAGGGGGTGGCAAAGCTCAGAAGAGGACCAGGACTGCAGAGATGGCACAGAGGTGGGGAGAGAAGGCAGAGTCAGCTCAGAGTTAGAGCAGCTCTATGGCTTTTTGATGAAAACTGAATGGTTTCCACATGGTCAGGAGCTGGCTGTGCTGCATGAGGTCTCCCTTTCTTCTCTCCTCTAGACCTGCATCATGAGCACACTGTGTGAAGCCAATGGCTCCTTTGCCTTCAGCCTTTTAAAGCTCCTGGGCCAGGATGACCCTGCAGGCAACGTCTTCTTCTCTCCTGTGAGCCTCTCCTCCACCATGGCCATGGTCCTACTGGGGGCCAAGGGCGACACGGAGTCCCAGATTGCCCAGGTGAGCTGGCCAGCTCCTGTCTCCTTCAGGGATACCAGGAGGGGTTGTTTTTTGCTCTGTTGGGTGTTTTGTGCTGATGGCAGGGCAGGGAGAACTCCTCAACTAATAACTCAAAGAAGACTCAACATTGGGCCTAGCACTTAACTTAGAAAATGAAGCTGAGTCTGGAGTGTGGCCCAGTGGTAAGAGCCTGCTCTGTGTTTGATGCCCAGCACCACAGAGGGGGAAGGGAAGGAAAGGGGCCAGGAGCGGAGGGGAAGGCCAGATGCTGGAAATATTTGAAACAGAAGTCACTGAAATCTTTCTCTATTTTGGAGCACCAGACTTGTCAATGCTAATTGTTCATTGGTGCCAAAGAGGCAGGTACCAGCCTGCTTTGCTAACTCAGCCAGGGACCAACAGAAGCCTGGATCCCACTGGGGACCCTACAGACTCCAGTAAGCAGAGTCTGCCATATTCAGGCCACCTCTGAAATGACTTAGAACAATACCAGTCCACAGGGCTCCCAGGGTGGCAGGGTACAGGAGCCTGAGGAAAAGACCCCGAGGCCAAGTCATTGTCACCTGTTGCCTGTGCAGAGTTGTAGGGGTAGTCAGGCATGCTCCACAGGGTCACTTTGGTCTCAATGTGACTGGCATTGCCCTTTCAGTAGGGTCTGCTCTTTCTAATATTTCCAGCTCTTTTTAGGAGGTGCTGGAGCACAGAGGGGACTTTCTGGTGATGCTTTGTGATTCTCTAGGGTTTGAGTTCACCATGAACTTTGTGAGGGAGGTTTCACTGCGCAACACACCAAGGTAATGGCTCAGAAAAACAACCCTCCCAAACAGCGATAACAGCAACAACAAGGACCTGAGAGCTCAGTGTGTCTGCCACCAGCCTTGATAGTGCAAGGACCAAAATTTGATCCTCTCTAAAAAAAAAAAAAAAAAAAAAAAAAGAAAAAAACACAAAAAAAAAAAAAAAAAAAAAAAAAAAGCAACAAGAATGACAACAACCACAACAGGGGAAAAAAAAATCCTTGGAAAGGATTATTTTATGTAGTACTTGAGAAAAAAAGTTTTTTTGGTAAATCTCTGTGATCCCAGAGGAAACATTATTGATAATGTGGCATTTTCTTCCCAGGTGCTGGCTTTAAACCCCAAGAAGGATATTCACTTCGGCTTCCAGTCACTCCTCACCACAGTGAACAGGCCTGATGCTCCGTACTCCCTCAGCATCGCCAACAGGCTCTTTGGAGATGAGAGCTGTGAATTTCTCCCTGTGAGTTGAGCCAGGAGAATGCTAAATGATTTTATTTAACACAGCTGGTGACAAGAGCCCACTGGAGACCTTGAGGACCTGACAAGCAACTTTGTTTGATTTTGTTTTGCTCAGATGACAGCTGTATAGGGCCACCATGCATGCTTTTCAGTTTGACTATTACTTAAGTTCTTTCATTCATCCTGTTATTCCAGGCTCAACACCCACCTACCTAGAAAATGGCCCTTGACATCTCGTAGACTCAGTGTGATGTCTTCTAGGAGACCCAGATGCTCTTTTTAAGTACCCTAAGAGCACTGTTGTGCTCAGAATGCCTGGCAGCTTGCTGGCTGACATTCTCTGTAGCTCTGTGGCCTCACCTAGCCCGTCTCTCCCCACAGTCCTTTACAGAGTCCTGTCTGAAGTTCTACCATGCTGAGGTAGACCAGCTGCCCTTTGCCAAAGCTCCAGAGAAGTCCAGGAAGCTCATAAACAGCTGGGTGTCCAAAAAGACGGAAGGTCAGCATGGGCAGCTACTTCCACTCTTCCTAACTCCTGGCCTCTCCTTCTCCTGCCCTTCTCCATGCTTCAGCTTCTGTGCTCCCTTCCCCTACTCCCACTTCCCATGTTCTTCCCCATTCTCTCTCTTCTTCCACCCACAGTCACTGTCCTTTCCATGGCCTGAGCGATGTTGACTGTCTGGAGCCCAGGCTGTCTTTGACTCTTAGTGGGCTCACAGCTCCTCTGCCCAGATGTTCAGGGTTTCAATACCACAGACTTCCTCTTGTCTCTAGGGGGAGAGGGCTGCTATGACTGAATACATACTCATAGGCCAGACTTCAGTCGCATGTTGACATCAGAATACACAGTCACAGGATGGAAATGTTTACACATCAGGATCACAGGATCTTCTCCAGGGCTGCCTGGTGCTCTGTCTAGAGGAAGCAGGAGGAGTCTCTCTCCCCTGGGCTTCCAGAAATGTGTGCTGTGCCCATCACCGCCGTCCCTCTCTGAGCCCCTGTTCTGGCTGCCTGTGTCACACAGACTCATCACTGCCAGTGTTAGAAGTGGGTGTGATCACGGAGCCCGATACCACGCTGCATTTAACCCGGGGACCGCAGTCCCCACCCAGCCCAACTCCCATGTCCTGCTTCTCCTCATGTCCACCCTCTGCTTTCTTTCTTATACCCTGCTTTCCTTCAGTGACTCAGAAGCCTTTGCCGTCCTTCATCTGGTGGATTCTCCCGAGGTGTCCCGACCCATGGACTCCACTCGGAGGAGCTGCTTTCGACATTTTAGTCCTTAGCAATCCACACTCAGCAGATCTGCAAACATCACGTTTCCATCTTCCAGGGTGCTGTCCTATAGTTTATTCATCACAGGTTTATAAGAAGCCACTGAATGTAGTCTCTGCTTTCTCAAAAGACAAAATTCAGGAGTTGTTGGCAGAGGACTCAATTGGTCGTGGGACCAGGCTGGTTCTGGTGAACGCCGTCTACTTCAAAGGAAGGTGGGACAAAAAGTTTGCGGTGTCCTCCACAAGGACAGTGCCTTTTACAGTGAACCAGGTACGGAGAAATTTAAACAAACTCCTTTGAAAAAGACATTGAACAAAAAATGTTATTGTTGTAAGAGCATAAATTCATAAAATTCTTTGAACTATTTATTTCTAAATTGACTTTTTAACTGGAGTAGAAAAATTACAAAGGTAAACAATATGTTCTACATCCCATTATTCATATAAACTACTGCTCTTCCTATCTGATAAATTCTTCCACTTCTATTGCTGAAAAAGGGATTCTGGAAACTGAAGATTTTCCTGGTGTCCAAGGTGAATCAGTAGAGGCAAAACCAAGTGCTAAGCTTCTGAGATGTATGCACAGGGCACTGGTTGGATAGAAGGAGAAACTTGAAAGCACATTTCTTAAATCAAATCATTTGAAAATTAAAATAATTACTTGTTTGAATTATTGTGATATCAGATGAATATCATTCACTCCATATTTCCAGATTTTAATATGATACCTAATGGCCAATATCTCTGTCCTGAAATTTCTAATTTAAATGAAAGCAAAGTTAAAACCATTTGCCAAATCCTCTAATCCTTTGAAATACAGAAAATGAATTAGGCATAAAACATTTAGGAAGTTTACACTTTTTCTAATACCCCCTCATTTCAACATAAAATGCACTTTACATAACGATTAATTTATTTTTGGCATGGCATGTTGGGGGGGCACTTCAGAGTCAGACCATAGCACATGGACAATTCAGAGCACCCCGTCTATTTTGCCGGCCAAGACATCTTTCCCAGGCTGCTTCTGGATCGGCTTACACTCCATGGTTTCCAGGGATGTGGCAGTTGCTGTGACGTTTTTCCGGGTTTCCCTGGCCCAGACATTGTTTCCATCACTGGTGCTGAAACACTCCCAAAGCTCCTTGGGGAAGCTCCTTGCTCCTTGGAGAGTCTGGGAGACATCTGTGCTCATGTGTTCACCCCGGCAGAAGGAGAAGAAGCCCGTGCAGATGATGTACCGGGAAGCCACGTTCCCCCTGGCCCAGGTGAGGGAGGTGCGGGCCCAGGTGCTGGAGCTGTCCTACAATGGCCACGAGCTGAGCATGGTCATCCTACTCCCTGACAAAGGCGTGGACCTCAGCACGGTGAGACACTGGGTCTGTGTATACCTACTGTCCCATCAAAGCATCCGGTGACATCCTGGTATCCCTTCCAACAGGACAGAAAGAAGGCACACTCTTGTCCTTGGCAGCTCCTCTCCCGTGGGTGGTGTGGGCAGGTGCGAGCATTTGGCTTTGGGATCAGACTGTTGCTCAGGACCTGTTTCTCCCATCCCTGCCCATGGGACAGTGCAGGATGGCGGAGCCTTGCCAGGGCCATCACCCATCAGCCTGGGTCTTCTCATTGCTATACGGGGAACACGAGGATATCTACGTGGTGGGGTTATCACTCCAGTAGTATAAGCTGGGGATTCAGGTGACAGCTCCGCACACTGCCAGGCACATGGTAACCAGGCTGCAGGGTGGGATCCATCACCATCGTGATCACTGCTGATTAGGTGTAAATGTATACCAGGAAAGCATCAGTGGAGAGTGAGAAAATGCTAGTCTGTGAGCTGAAGTGTGGGCAGGTGAGGATCCCGTGTGAGAGCAGGACCTGGGCAGCCCAGTGGCACATCCTGGCCGCCCTGCGGGTGACAGAGGCCCCAGCCCCTGATGGCAGCAGTGGGACGTCTCTGACCAAGGGCTCCCTGTGAGCAGGGGGAGCCCTTGGCTGTGCCTCTGACCCTCCCTACTAGGACACTTCCCTCCCAGGCCCCTCAGAGTCCCTGGTTGAGCCCTGCTCCCCGGGGTCACCACACAGCCCTTTGCTGTCCACTCGCTCCTTCCTTACCAGCAATGGTTTGTCCCCTAGTTCACTAAGCCTCGTTCAGAAAACCAAAAAGCTCAAGAAGCCCAAATCCCCACCCGGCTCATCCACCTGGCAGAGACCTGGTCAGCAGGGGTGTGAGGAGCGGGCAGCCCAGTGTGCTCCTGGGAAGCTGGCCTGGGGGGCAGCACAGCAGCTGGGTGCAGGACAGGCCCAAGACCTCCCCTGTGCAGGCAGCTGCAGCCCCGGTGTGTGACAGTCAGCATCCTGCCTGCAGAGGCGGGGTGCTGCCGAGGAGGGACAGCGGGGTGCGCACTGAGGCCTGAATCTGAACGTCTAATTCTGGTCTTTCAGCTGGAAGACACCCTCACTTTTGAGAAATTCCAAACCTGGACCAGTGCAGAGCGGATGAAGCGTACAGAAGTTGAGGTTTTCCTCCCGAGATTTAAACTGCAGGAAGATTATGACATGTGCTCTGTGCTGAAGCGCTTGGGCATGGAGCATGCCTTTGAGGAGGGCTGTGCTGACCTGTCCGGGATGGTGGCCGACAGCAACCTGAGTCTGTCCAAGTTCGTGCACAAGAGTGTGGTGGAGATCAACGAGGAGGGCACAGAGGCCACGGCGGCATCAGCTTGTATGGCTGTACCTTGCTGTGCTTCAGAATCTAGATCTGTGTTCCGCGCGGACCACCCCTTCCTGTTCTTCATCAGGCACAACAAGACCAATAGCCTGCTCTTCTGTGGCAGGTTCTCCTCACCCTGAGGGTGCCCTTGCCGTGCATGCCAGCAGTTCCCTCTGTGTTGCTAAATCCCCCCATGCTCCATGCAGATGGCTCCCAGGAAAACTCCCACTGCAGCCTAGGTCAGAGCCTGGTCTCTGAGAACCCGCTGTCAGCATAGCCTCTCAGTGTGCTGTGCTCAGCGCTCCTGCCCTGCCCGCTTACCTGTGCTCCCGCCTGAGAGAAGGGACAACAGACTGCCGTGGTGACCGTAGGGCACCGTCCAGATTCCAGAGCGCAGCAGCCTGCACAGTTTTCCTGCGTGGCCTCACAAGTCCTCACACTCGTGTCACGCACTCATTCCTATGGTTACCGTGTACTTCCTCACACCCCACACCTTATCACTCCCCTTAACTGACTCCTAAACAGTAATCCCCGCTGCTGGATGCTGTTGTTCCTCCTCCAGTTTTCCTGGTGCCTGCAATTTTAAAGAAGCACACATTTTAGTTTTATTTTCTTTGTCATTTCCCATTGACCAGGTATGTGTAGAGCTCTACATGAAGCCCAGGGACAGAGTCCAGTTTCTTGGACAGCTGTGCCTTAGCATTTGTGCCAACTTATATAGCTTAATAAAAACCTGGTCGCACCATTTAAAGTCTTCACTGGTGGAAGACACAGTCATGTTAACTCACACACTGCACCATCACGGGGGTTTCCTCTCTTCTGGTCTCTGGGGAACCACCCAGGGATTGTAAGGTGTCTGTGTTGTAGGAAGTATTCCTGGGAGCACTGTGAAGGGTATTTCACAGGAGGCTGCTGTCATGGGCAAGGGGGAGAAAGAAGCAGCATGAGAAGGGATCCAGGCAGGCAGAACCCAGAGGCCTCATCACCGTGGACCACAGATCCCTGATGATGCTCCAGACTCTCACTCAGTCCCAGGTTCACCTCACCAGCTCAGCTCAGCTCTCACACTGACACTTGCACAAATCTATGGCAAAGACAAACCAGTCCAGATGCCATGGAAAGTGAAAGGAGAGACTTTAATCACTAATATACTATTGCATTAGTGAGGTGGATGGATGAAGCACGAACCTCATTTCACAGAGGGGCCTGGGCATTTTAAAGTCAGAATGAGGGAGGTAGAAGGAGCCCAGGAGGAGGGCAGAGTCAGGAACAGGATAAGTGTGAGATCCTGCCACTTAGGATCCCATCCTCCCAGAGACTGAACAGAGGTCCTTCCTCCCTGATGATCCCATTCCCAAGGAATGACTTTCAGGGCCTGGAGAAAACACGCTCCTGGGCTGAGAGAGACTCATACTTTACATATGGGTCAGAGGGAAAGAGAAGGACTTATCACGCTCAGCTCCTTTGAGTAAACATCCTCCAAAAGGGCAGTCGGGGCATATGATTATCCTAGCTCCTAGCCTGAAACCAACAGTAAATTCCTCTGGAAGCCTTGAGTTTCTCAGGGAGCAGGTTTCAGAGAGTTAAGGTCTTTGTAGAGACACGGCCCGCAGATCTTGTACACTGTGTTTCAGTCTTTTATTATTTTAGTCTTTCAGTGCAGAGGGGCAGGGCAGGTGGGATCACTTGGGCGAGAGTGCACAGGTTTTCTAGGCCAGGGTTGAGACCCGGGGAGGAAGAGGCTCACAGGGGCCTGGATATAGCTGGTTCAGGACAGGATCTTCGTGGCCTGTTGCTTCTCAATTCCCAGTCAGTCCTCGGCATAGATTTTCCAATTCCTTGGGGTCCAGACTTCCAGGCGTGGGGACCCTCAGGCTGGGTTCGTTCAGGTTTCCCCTCATCCAGGGAAGACAGGAGCCAGGCTCCTGGGGCCCTTTGGGGTTGAGATGCCTGCTCCTTGCTGTGAGGAGAGGATGCTCTTCACTCTGCTGAGGGCTGTACTTCAGGGATAACCGGTCCCCTCCTTGCCTTCCCCAGGCCTCACCTCCCCAGGTCCCATCACCTCCCCATAGAGCTGCAGCTGGAACACGGGTCCTTTGGGGCCACCTCTGACCCACACTCTAGCATCAGCTCCTAACCTCTGCTGGAAGCCTCGTGGTGAAGACAGAGCCCTGCTCACATCCTGCACTTGCTGAGCTGGCCGTGCCCTCTGCTGGAGGGAGGGACAGGGGGAAGGACAGGTGGAAACCAAGCTCTGGACCTCGGTCCAAGTGACAGGGAGAAGTTGGTGACCCTGGAGGGGGGAGGCTGGTGAATCTGGCAGGTGAGCAGCTGAGCCCTGGCACAGTGATTCCCAGGCCACTGCAGGGCAGGTTCCCAAAATGGAGACACAGGAGTGACTCCCACACTAGGCCTAGCAAGAATGACCTCTGGTGCGAGGGGCACTTTTGGCTTCTGCTTATTAAGCATGTTAGGATGCTGGGTGTGGTGGTCTAGCTCTCTTGAGGGCTGAGGCAGTAGGGTTGCAAGTTGGATCCCAGGCTGGGCAAGTTAACAGCTTAGAGAAATGGTTTCTTAAGATACATAATCAAAAGGGCTGGAGGTACAGCTCATTGTGAAAGGCTTGGGTACACACACTCACACACACAGAAAGACATAAATAAAGAAAATGAAAAAAGGAACATTAGGTGTCACAGATTCCTTGTGAAAGGTGTTTTCTCAGCCCTGAACAGCTCCTCTGCCATGGCTGCCGTCCTCAGGGAAGCCCATGGAGATGTGCTCTTCTCTCTGAGAGAAATGCGATTGTGTTTTTCTGGGATTGCATGAGAGCCGGGAGCCTTGTGGTGGCAGGAGGCCATCCTCTGTTCCAGGCAAGACAGCCAGGGGCACAGGAGGATGTGAGGCCCAGGGTCTTCCCACAGCAGTTTCGGGAGCTGTGACCTGACTGAGCCCATCTCTCTAGACAAAGCTCCCCCATGCCACAGAAAACCTTACAGGGATAAATTGGGCAGACAATGAGCCTACTCTGCAAAGGGAAGGGCTCCATCTTGTGCCATAGTTCAATCGTGTTGAATGAATATTCAGAATGGAAACAGGACTGTTTAAATGAACTTTCTGTAAGCTGGGTTTCTTGCAGTGTGTGACTGTGTAAGAAAAGACGAATAAACATAACGGGAATTTCTCTGTTCTGTAGTTTTTAGAGGGAGTAGATGGTCTGGTTTCTCCAGATGGGTTACGTGAAAGTTTATGTACAAATGAGGTCATGGATGGCACCCTAGGGAAGCAGTTCTTACCCTTTCAAGGGCCTAGGTTTCTTCCACACTCCAGTGAAACTGCCCCAGACCACGTGACCAGACACAGCACACCTTGAATGTAACAATTGGCGTGTGCAGACAGTCTTCCCAAGAGCCTACCTGGGTTCTGGTTGGAGGTCTATTTCTCTCAGCTCCCTGGAGGAGGAAGGCTGTGGGTGTGGACTGAGAAGGACACAGGAGCAATCTTCCTTGGGGTTCTGATGTGACACTTCAACCTGACTCTGGTCCGGGCCCCTGTAACGCTGCTGCAGAACAGTTTCCATTTTATGTCTTCTCTTCGTGTGTTCCCTGGGAGCGTGTGAGCCTTAATCTCCCAGTCCATCTCAGTGTTGTAACCATGCCTTTCTGGCGTAATAAATCTGCTAGATCAGTGTTCTCACCTCATGTGACTATGTCCGCTCTGACGGCAGCTAGTCAGGTCTAGGGACGTTGTTGGTTGTCGTAATCCTGGGCTGCTCCTGGTATCTAGTGTGTGAGGCCAGGGCTGCTGCCAAACAGGCTACAGTGCCCTGGACAGGCCAAGGACCGAGAACGACCAGGCCGCAAAGTCTGGTGTCCCCAAGGTTGCCCTCAGATCCTTGTGCTAGACGGTGAGATGAACTTCGTGTTGCTGCTGCTGTTTGCTGTGCTGGGTAAGGAGAAGCCAGGGCCTTGGACCTGCTGGACGAGCACCCACCCTTGAGCTGTGCCTCCCGCCCCAAATCCTTTTCCTGTGGAGACTTTTCGGCATGGAGGTTTGCTTGGAGTATGTATTTCCAGGACCGAGGGTCATGTTCAGAGCTGGCATACTTGTTTTCTACTCTCAGCTCTGTTTTAAGACACTCCCCTACTCCCTGAGGTTTCCACTCACTTCCTCTGAAATAAACACACTGGCCACACAACACTTTCTTAGCACTGCTGACAGTCTTTGGAGGAAGAAGCATGGCTTGGTAAATAGGGTTTACACACTGAAGAAAGTGAAATAAAGTAAGTGCAGAAGAGTAGTTATGAGCTTTGGGTTAAAATACACTCAGAATTCCACTTCTGTAAGTGCAATTCAATTTGTGTCTGCTTCTGGATTATGTTTGTCACTCTTTCCATGTTCCTAATAAATCCCTTCCCTGGTGTGGATTCCAGTATGTCCCTGGCCGCACCTAGGCCTGCTGCACACACGGGGCCCCACCTGTGCAGGGTGATTCAAGCTCCCTGGCTCCTCCCCACCCTGCTGTCTGTTGTCTCCTGGCTGCCTCTGTGCACATTCAGGCCTTCAGTAGATGCTGAGACCAGGGCAGGAGACAGAGGGGACAGGCAGGACTGTGGAGCCCCAGCCAGAGAGAGGATGAGCGGGCAGCTTCCGCTTTTGGTGAAGAAAATCGGTCTGTTAATTGAGCCAGGAAGCTCAAAAAATTGTATTTTTTGGAATAATACTTTGACCTAGAATTAGGAACTCAGATTCCTTTCCCCTTAGCAGTGCTGAGAAATCCCAGAAAATGTTTCTCACCTGAGCCCTTGTTCATCTTTTTTCTGGGAGGGTCTTTAAAAATGAACAAGAGAGGGCAGTTTTTATATACACCTCGATTTCCTAAAATTAGTAAGGTAGGAAAGATGTTGAATGGGAATGATAAAGAATTTATTTGAGAGTCTCTGGGTGCTTAATCTATTTCTGACTGAATTTATGCCCCCTGTATTTCTCATGGTGGGGGAAGAGGAGATTTTTTTAAACTATATTTTTGGTGTTCATTTTATTCACCTGTGGACAAATCTATTTAGAGGACTGGCTATATTATTTGGATTAAAGGGAAGTTTCCTATAGAACTAGGAGCAGAAACACTGCCAGAATATCATTGGTTTGCTTGATTCAGAGTTTCATGGTTTTTGCCCAGGCTGGCCTTCACCTTGTAGACTCAAGCCATCCTCCTGTCTCAGCCTTCCCAGTAGCTGGAACTCCAGGTGAACTCATGGCCAGCTTCACTTACATCATCCTCTTCTGCGTTGACGCAGACACCAGGGAACACAGTGAGTTTCTGTCCTAAATGAAGATGTATATCAAGTATATTTGATGCATGCTTTAAAATCAGCCAGCCCTGCAGAACATGCCTCACTCTCCTCCTCAAGAACAACAAAGCCATAACCCAGAATTCTGTGTGGGAAAATTTATAGAATAACTGTCTTTGGCCTATAATTTCTAGTCACCGCTTCAACTCAAAGAGTTTTATGTCAAGCTTGTTTTAACTTGAAGAAATAATTTCAAAGCATGAGCTCTAGCTGAGAGAGGTGGTGTAGGTCAGTAATCATTCCAGCTCTAGAGGCTGAGGCAGGTGGTTCAGCCCAAGTTAGTGGCCAACTGGGCCACATGGGTTCAAGACCAGCCTGAATTACGTAGACGACCCTCTCTCAAAAACCCATGAAACAAACTACAATCAACCAACCAACACATAATGGAGGCGTATGCCTGGGTGCAGCCTGACTGGTAATGCCGGGCCGGCTCCCTGGCTGCAGCACATCCACTACGGCGACCCCACTGGGAGGGTTTAAGGGTCAACATCGGTGCTGGCAAGTCGGGCTCCCACACACCTCCCCACAGGATGCTGGTTCGGGCTGCTGCCTCCCCTGGCTTCTCTTGTGGGTTCAGGAGGCAGTTGCTGTGAGCCAAGTGCCGGGTCTGCCATAGCTACTTGAAAGGGAGCAGAGAGGCTGGGAGGGAGGTGATCCAGGCGCTTCGCGGTCATGGCGCATGTGTGAGAGCACAGGTGGTACCAAGGGGAGGCGGGAGGTTCCTGTCCTGCTTTCTCTTCTCCTGTGCCCACGGGCAATGAGTGACTGTGCAGGTATCTCTGAACACATCTCTGGAGCAGGCTTTCCTTCCTTGTACCTGGCTGCACTGCCGTGGGAGCTGGACCGGAGCCTACATGACTCACAGGAGCTGGTGGAAATGACACCTAGGCTAGCACGGTGTTCACGCCAACAAGGCTGCTGAGAGATCCAGGTCCTGATCTGGGAAACCGCAGGGCTCCAAGTGCAACAACTGATAGCCAAGCCCTGCTCTAGTGCCAGTCCACATCCCATCCCAGAGCTGCCCAACCTTTAATTGTGTCAGGAGCTGACTGGTTACCCATGAACCGACCTGCGGTCTGCTTTGCACCCTATGCAAGAGTGGCTTACCCTCCTGTCTGCAAGACTCTGTGTCAGCTGTTATCACTGGATGCCGCATGTGCCCCATACCTTAGTAGCTCGAGCTTCAGACCATCACTGAACTGACCTGTGGCCAGGGCAGGATCGCCGCACTCTGAATTGGAAGTGAACCAGCTCAGCCCCAAGAAGAGCTGTATCCAGGGGCAGAGCCATCAGCCTGATGAGGTCTGTGGCGCCAGCCTAGGCATACACTCCCCAGTCCAGGCCCAGGAGCGAGAGCCAGGCATGAGTGCGGCAGCAGAAGTCCCCTCAGGCCGTGAGGGTGCTGGGGATCAAGGCCCAAGAGGTCTGAGGTGAGGGGCCCAGCTGTGGGACTCAGGGAGATCTGTCCACCTGGTTCATCTTATTCCTGGCACGGTCCACTGTGGCTCACTTCAGTCCTGGGAAGACTGAGAGCTCCCCAAGCGGAGGAGGAAGTAAACCACAGCCCACACAGTTAAAACTCTGTTCCACAACTCAACCCTTCACACTCAATAACCCAAATGAGCAGTAGCGAAAACATCGAGATAGGGAATTCTCGGGGAAAGACTCAGAAGGTTGGCAAGCCCATGAGATGATGCCAAGCTTCAAGTCAGCAGAGAAGACCAGCTCAACAGCACTGAGAGCGTCACAGGACACCAGGAGAGGGTCCGCATGGGAAAGCCAAACCAGGGGGAACAGAATGCATGGTGAGACTTGCAATAGGGGGGAATGCTTACTTCTGTAAGACACAATGCTAAGAAAAATGGGAAAAGTGCATTTCCGTGAGGGGGAGAATTCTGAATATTTTGAGGATAAATAGCAATGTATTTTGGTGGGGAGGTACTGGGGATCAAACTTCAGACCTTTTGCTTGTGAGGCAGGCTGTGGAACCACTGAGCTAAATCCCTGGCCCAATGTCAATTTATCTTTACATGTAATGATGTTTTTACATTTAAGATTTGTCATTGCTTTTGATCAGCCCACTACATTCTTCGTGGGAATGTAAAATTGTACAGTAGCTTTGCTAAATAACATGTTAGATCTTAGTTACATACAGAGATAACATATGGGCCAGAAATTGCATTTGTAGGCTTACAGTGAGGATAAGTAGAAGAAAACACATTGATATACACAGGTGTATGTGAGTCACTCCGAGCAGCATGGTTCACTAAGAACAAAAGAGGGAAAACTCCCAAGGTGGTGGAAATGGACGAAGAAACACCACGAACATGTAACACACAGTATTATTATGAGTACTGTTCCCTCATGAGAGTCAACAATTGATAAATGCTACCTGAGCCATCAGGGTGGAACTGGGAGCCCGGGTCAGCAGAAGAAAGCAGGCCCTGAACACCGCACCCTGGATGACTCCACTCACTGGAGATGCTCACTGAGACAGACACCTAGACATGGAATTGGGTTAGGGTTGGCCAGACCCGGGGCCCAGGAGGAGGGCTAGTGCTGCAACTGTCCCAGAGTTAGGTGGTAGTGACCGTGGTCAGTGCTGTGAAGGATTAAACGCCACTGAATGCTATGCTTTAAAGGGATGGATTTTGTGAAATCTGGATTTTGTCTCTGAAGTAAGTGAGTTCATTGAGTGATTACAGTGCTAGTAGAAAATAACAGGACTGGTCTGGGGAGAAATTTCCCAGGCTACAAGCAGCTGGCCAGGTTGCTGTTGGAAATGGTTTATTTTTATTTTTATTACTGTGGTTGTGTTGTAGTATTTGGTTTAGGGAGACAAGGTCCCGCTATGTATTCTACGCTGGCCTTGAACTCACTCTACACCCCAGGCAGGACTGGAACTCATGGTGATCCTCCTACCTCAGCATCCTAGGCTGGGAGTACAAGCCTGTGTCACCATACCCGGCTTGAGAAATGTGGTCTGGATCTAGGAAGCCAGATTTTTATGATGAAAATTGGGAAAGAAGAAAGCAGCAGTGACTTCTGTGACTTGACTGTGGCTGGGGATGAGGGGAGGACAAAGGCCCAGCCAGCCCCATCCCAGACAGTCCATTAGGGGAAGTTTTGTGGTTTGGTTTTACAGGCACAGAAGGCGACGTGGGCCATGGATCATCTTCAATGCATCAGAGAGGCAGATTGGTTCCTCTGGAAGCTGTTAGATCAAATAAAGTCTTATCTTTTCCTTCCCCCATCCTGCCAGTAACTGAACTCTGGAATTTCAGGATTCTTCTCTTATCAGTACTGTGATGTGCACATTCTGTCTCACTAAAGGGTTTTGTTCTTAGGAGAGGCAAAGTTTCAGGATCCTTGCCTCTCCGGTCAGAGGTCAGTGGCTGAGGCCGGCTGGCTCCTAACATCTTCCCCAGAAGACCCTGGCTGGCCTCACCCCCAGTGCAGCCTCAGGAGAGGCTTGGGTTTGGGTAAATTTCCACCAGCACAGAGGAGCCCTCAGGAAAGCACCCAGAGCACTTCCCAGGGCCGTTCCCTATGGTCATCATCACAGAGGCTCCCTGTGGACTCTGGTGTAAGGGGGACACTGGCACAGGTAAGGTGGGATTGTGGGGTCCCAGGTGCCACAGGGAACTTGCTCTGGACCCAGGCCCTGCCCCATGTCCACCCAAAAAGGACAGGGTCCATGTCCTGGCCAGTTCCCCTCAGTGTCTGCCCTTGGCTGGGAGAGCAGCATGGCACCTGGTACCACAGCCCAAGCCTGGGTCAGGGATGCACTAGGAGCAGGACTGGGGTTCTGTGTGGGTCCTGGGCCTGAGCTGATCTGAGCTGTGTGGGTGTGAGTGTGGGTGTGGGAGGCTGGAGGAGCCCTGGATTCATCTGAAGGCTCCTTGGTGTAAACAGACCTTCCTCCCCACAAAGTCTTAACATGTCATTCTCCTCCTGCTTCCTGGGAATTGGGAAAGCCAGGTTCCTGTTTGTCTTTTCACCTGTTTGTTTGTTTGCTTGTTTTTATTATTATTATTATTTTTTGGTTGGCACGTGTACTAGGGACTGAATCCAGGACCTCTGCACTGAGCTATACCCCCTGTCCTACCTTTAATTAATTACTTTAGAGACAAGTTCTCTGTAAGTTGGACTGGGCTCCAAGTCTCCAGTGTCCTGCTTCAACCTCCCACAGTGCTGGGTTGACAAGCATGCCACCTGCCCTTTCTACATTTTTCAGGGTCCTGAGATCTGCTTTCACTTTCACAATTTCAGTCTTTCCAGGGCACTGGTTTAGCTCCCCCTTATGGTCATTGACACCTGGTGGTAGCAGCCTGATTGGCCAGGTGGTGAAGACAGGAAGACAGCCCCACCCTGCTGTAGCCCTGGCCACAAAGGACACTGAGTCCCCAAGTACTAGAGCAGCCGGCAGCGCTCCTGTGATCCTGGTGGTGTCCATGCTTCTGTGGGGCATTGTGCAGTAGGAAGGCGAGACCAGTGTGGCTGCGCAGGGAAAGACCAGGTTCAGAGCCCTGGGCCGCAGAGGGAGCCTGAGCACGAGATCTCCCTTTCTTCTCTCCTCTACACCTGCATCATGAGCACACTGTGTGAAGCCAATGACACTTTTGCCTTCAGCCTTTTAAAGCTCCTGGGCCAGGATGACCCTGCAGGCAACGTCTTCTTCTCTCCTGTGAGCGTCTCCTCCACCATGGCCATGATCCTACTGGGGGCTAAGGGCGACACGGCGGCCCAGATTGCCCAGGTGAGCTGGCCAGCTCCTGTCTCCTTCTGGGACAAGAGGGTTTTTGGTGGTGGTGAAGGGGATCGGTGAGCTTCCCCAAGCACTAACCCGGAGAAGACTCAAACGTTGCCTAGCGCTTTCTTAAGACAAAGGAGCTGAGGCTGGGGCAAATAGAGATGGTGCCTAGACATCCACCAGCTCTCCTGGCTTAGGAGAATGTTTTCCATAAGACTTAGTGGGGTCATTTTTGGGTTATTGGTATTTAATTTGTAGTCTATTGATTTCTAGTTTAACACACCAAAGTCAGAGACTAAACCCTGTACAACTTTTGTTTTTTCATTACTGGGAATCAAACCCAAAATCTTCACACTGAGCTTCATCCTCACCCCTTTTTTATTTTGAGACAGGGTCTTACTACACCCCTAAATTTCCCAGATTGAGCTAGAACTTTCATTCCTCCTGCCTCAGCCTTCTAGAATGCTGGGATTACAGTTGTGTTCTACCATGTCTGGCTATAATCTCTGTAATTTCTGTACTTCAGAATCACTTGAGAATTTTCTGACAGCCTAATATATATTATTTAAAATAATGAAATAACACTTAAAATATGTATTGTCTCTCTAGGATACAATTTGAGAACTGGGTTTTAGTCCTCTTAATTATGTTGTTCTGTTATACCCTTATTTCCTCTCTTCTTCTTTTCTTTTTCTTTTTCTTTTTCTTTTTTGTTTTGTTATGTTTTGTTTTGTTTTTTTGAAACAGGGTTTCACTATGTACTGAGATTGACCTGGAACTTCCTATGTAGCCCAGGATGGTCTTGAACTCACAGTGATCCTCCTGCCTCAGCTTCCTGAGTGCTGGGATTATAGGTGTGTGGCGCCACTCCCAGCTAAATCTCTTCTTTTTCAAACAAATTTTGGAGATCAGTTTTCTTTTATTTCTGGCTTATCCTTGCCCACCTGGAGATGCTGGACTCAATGCCAACTCCATCCTGAGCCTCTCTGGTCCTTTGCAGTTTCCGTTATAGCCCTGGAACCTAGAGTAGGCAGAAGAGCCACATCTGTGATGCCCCTATTCCCTGTCCCCTCTCTGATCTCTCCACATGCCTCACTAGTTGCAGTTCTGTAAGAAGCATGACTCAATAAAAATAAAATCAACCTAACTCGATATGGTAGCTCACACCTGCAGTCTCAGCACTGAGGAGGCTGAGACAGGAGGATCCTAATGAATTCAAGTCCAGCCTGGGCTACATAGCTAGATCCTAAAAAAAGCAAAACAAAACAAAACAGGAAAAGGAGAAAAAGAAAAGAAAACAATAAGAAAAACACATTCCTCTGAAGGAATCATTTTATGGAGTACCCTAGCGAAAAACTGTTATTTTTAGTAAAAATTCTGTGAGCCCATAGGATATTATTGACAATGTGGCATTGATTTCCTTCACAGGCACTGGCTTTAAACCCCAAAGAGGACATTCATGGCAGCTTCCAGTCACTTCTCACCGAGGTGAACAGGCCTGGTGCTCCATACTCCTTCAGCATCGCCAACGGGCTTTTTGGAGAAGAAAGCTGCAAAATTCTCCCGGTAAGCAGATTGAGGAAAATGGTAATGGTTTTATTTAACATATCTGGTGAGCAGGGCAAAGGAGGAGGACCCTGGAGACCACGAGGAACAGGTGGTCAACCTTGTATTTAAAAGACTACAGCTCTATAAGGACACTGTGCGTTATTACTCTTGACTCCTTCTAGAGCTCTTTCATTTGTCTCCAGTTATTTCAGACTCAGCACTTACCTAAAATGGCCCTTGACATCTCCTAGACTCAGTGTGACGTCTTCTAAGAGATCCGCATGCTCTTTTTATGTTCTCCAAGAACAGGGTGGTGCTCAGAATGCCTGGCAGCTTGCTGGCTGACATTCTCTGTAGCTCTGTGGCCTCACCTAGCCTGTCTCTCCCCACAGTCCTTTACGGAGTCCTGTCTGAAGGTCTACCATGCCGAGGTAGACCAGCTGCCCTTTGCTGAAGCTCCAGAGAAGTCCAGGAAGCACATAAACAGCTGGGTGTCCAAAAAGACGGAAGGTCAGCACGGGCAGCTACTTCCACTCTTCCTAACTCCTGGCCTCTCCTCCTCCTGCCCTTCTCCATGCTTCTTCTGTGCTCTTCTCATCTCCTCCCACTCCCTCCCCAAGTTCTCCTCCATTCTCTCACATCCTCTGTCCTCAGTCACTGTCCTTCCCCAGGGTCAGAGTGCTGTTGACAGCCTGGACCTCATGCTGTATTTGAACTTTAGCGGGCTCAAAGTTCTTCTGATTAGGACTTCAATATTCGGGGTTTCAATACCAGAGACTTCTTTTAGTTTCTAGAAGAAGAGTGACTGTTATGGCTGTCAATACATACTTCAGTTTCACAGATACATCAGAACACACTGACACTGGCTTGAAGTGTTCACACATCAGGGACATCCTGTCTGTGAGGAGAAGATGGGTGGACAGACCTTCCTGAAGTCAGCTTCTTAGTCACTTTCTTCTCACTGGGACACCAGAACCAATGCCCACGTGTTGAAGGGGGACAGGTTCATTTTGGCTCATAGTTTCAGAAGGTTCAGTTCATGGTTGGCCGAGTCCAGTGCTGCAGTGGCCTAGTGGGAGGGCCTGCCCTGGAGGACAGCTGTTAACCTCATGGTGGCCAGGAAGCATAGAGAGAAGGGAGGATCTCCAGACTGCAATGGAGTATGTCACATTGCGTAGATCCCAGTCTTAGTGACTCACTGCCAGAGAGGCCCAGTTCCTAACGGCAAGTCAGCAGTAGCATCCCCATGGTTCAGTCAACTCCCAAAAGCTCCACTATGAACATGGGAGTATTTGGGGGGATTTTTGAGAACTGAGCCATAATGGCCATGTACTTGGGCCACATCTTACTAGAAACCATGTGGCATCTATCCCCCTCCAGTCCCAGCTAAGGGGACTTCTGCTACCTTCTCCTTCATGTCGCTCACTTAAGCTCCCGTGAGGAGACTCCACAGCCTATCTTGCCTGGTCTCCTACAGACCCATCCTCAGCAATGATCCTCCCACACTGAAAGCACCCTGTGTGTGTGCCTGATCTTTCTCCATCTCCAGAGGACAGAGTGACACATTGCTACCTGGTCCCCAAGATCCACGATAGGGAGACATGTGAACCAGTGAGGCAGCCGTGTCCCTGGAGATTTCCTATTTCTGCTAACAAGTGAGACAGTGGCAAAGGAGAGGTGTTTGCGCTTTTCCATAGTTTCCCCATTTCTTCCTGGAATCCTTGCCCCTTGTGCCCTCTCCTGGTGCAGATTCCCAAGGATGCTCTTAGTGCACAACAAGGTGCCAGTGGGTGCTCAGGAAAGAACATTGCATCTAGGCCACCCACAAGGTCTTCTCTAGGGCTGCCTGGTGCTCTGTCTAGAGGAAGCAAGAGGAGCCTCTCTCCCCTGGGCCTCCAGAAATGTGTGCTGTGCCCATCACCACCATGCCTCTCTGAGCCCCTGTTCTGGCTGCCTGTGTCACACAGACTCATCACTGCCAGTGTTAGAAGTGGGTGTGATCACGGAGCCCGATACCACGCTGCATTTAACCCAGGGACCGCAGTCCCCACCCAGCCCAACTCCCATGTCCTGCTTCTCCTCATGTCCACCCTCTGCTTTCTTTCTTATACCCTGCTTTCCTTCAGTGACTCAGAAGCCTTTGCCGTCCTTCATCTGGTGGATTCTCCCGAGGTGTCCCGACCCATGGACTCCACTCGGAGGAGCTGCTTTCGACATTTTAGTCCTTAGCAATCCACACTCAGCAGATCTGCAAACATCACGTTTCCATCTTCCAGGGTGCTGTCCTATAGTTTATTCATCACAGGTTTATAAGAAGCCACTGAATGTAGTCTCTGCTTTCTCAAAAGACAAAATTCAGGAGTTGTTGGCAGAGGACTCAATTGGTCGTGGGACCAGGCTGGTTCTGGTGAACGCCGTCTACTTCAAAGGAAGGTGGGACAAAAAGTTTGCGGTGTCCTCCACAAGGACAGTGCCTTTTACAGTGAACCAGGTACGGAGAAATTTAAACAAA